ACTCTCTCTCACACACACCTAGGGATAATTTAGAGTTACCAGTCAGTCTAACATGCATGTTTTTGGTCTGTGGGAAGAAACCGGAGCACCCGGAGAAAACCCACGCATGCACGGAGAGAACATGCAAACTCCACCCAGAAAGGTCCATGCCTCGGATTTGATCCAGCAACCTTCTTGTACCAATTGCACCACTATGGTAATTGCATACCTGCAAACTCAGAAAGGATTTAAGAGGCGACAAACCTGTAGTGTGTATGTAGGGGGTGGGGCGTTTGACATTATAGGCTAACGTTAACGCGCAATTCACTGCTGCTAGCTGACTTCCTAGCTAGCATTACATGCCGACAAGCTTTCTCTTACAAATAGCATTATGTTGGAAAAGGTAACTGATCATGACACGCATAACGTTGCTAAAGTATGATTAATTTTTTGCCAAATCAGTTTTAATTTACAGCATATTGTCGGCAGATAATGAGACTTATCTCAGAACTAACGTCGTCCAATATTAGAAGTGTCTAGTTATAACGTAGACTCGTTTCCTTTATCCATAGGAAAGATTTCCCTATCTATCTGGATTGTGATTGGCCAAATGACTCGTGTTCCACCAAAGATGTTCTGTTGTGAAGACAGAAACCTTGTTGTTGCTTTACGTCCAGTCAGTGGGGAATTTTGCCTTTATACCTCTGGACAATCTTGGGATGTCGATGGTTCACGTGATGACATATTTTGTTTGAAATAGGTGACTTTTACCGAAAAGCGACAAGTTTGCAGGTATGCGAGTTTTCGTGTTCGCTAAAGTCAATTCTCAGTGACGGCCAGTAGATGTATGTTCAATACTTTCTGAGAGTTTCATTAAAAACCTGTCGCTGGTTTGCGAGGTATATTCACACACATGGAAGAGATACATAACCGTCTGACTTTTGTAGCAGCAAGCGACAGATAATGAAAGTTGGATGGGGATAGTTTGGTATGTGTGTATCCAGGTTTATTATCATTAACCACGGGAACTGTCTTCAACAGGAAGTGATCCGAAACCTGGTGAAGAGGTATGTGGCCGCCATGATACGCAGCGCGAAAACGGACGAAGGGCTGACGGAAGAAAACTTTAAGGTGAGTGGCCAACGAGATGCTGTTGTCACGGTGACGGGCTCCAAATAAACAAGCAGAAGGGAGAGGAACCTCTTCTCAAACCATGTCTTTCTGCTGTTCTGTAACTCGACACTCTGCAGAGCTGCTTCTGAACAAACATCAGGTTCAGAGCAACCGTTTATTTATGTCAGCCCTCCTATAAACTCTGCAGCTTTTATTGGTACCAGACAGTACCGTTTTTTTTACTGCGGCAAAGATTTATTAAAAGACGTTAAATAACAAACCAGCTGTCCTCATCTTCTCCCTTTTCATTCCAAAAATCTACTCTTCCAATAGGAACACTGCCAAGGGGTTTTCGCCTTTTCCCAATCTTTCTGAGCCGTAATTTATTTTAACACCCTGCGTAGGTTTCCCATGATGCCCTTGGAGGCTGGCTTTGAAGTGAACATTCCTCTGGGCTTTTGAAAGCAACAACAACATCAGGTGCACAGCGGACTGAATCACTTCTCCCTCCTGGTGTGTTTACCTACGTCTAAGTGCGCTCAGGTTATGGGTTGTTGTGTGCTGAAATGTGTGACCAACATCAGCGTTTTCTTCTCAGAGGAATAAAAATGACACGAGGCGTGCAAAATCCCAGATGGCAAGTGGGAAAAAAAAAGTCTATGAGGTTGCTACGAGCTGATTTATGGGGTTGATATCTTTGTAGTCGTGTGTTTTTCTTGGGTGGGCAAAGACAGAAGGAAGAAAGGTAAACTGTGACTGTCTACGCAGGTGCTTATGGAAATTTTGTCTTAAACCTGTTTGTTAAATGAGGGATTTAAAGGGAAGTGGAAATCAGTTTTGTCGTATCCAGATGGGTTTACTGCTGTTTCTCGGAACAAACGCCACGTATCCTGTTTTCCCCATACGAAACGGTAAAACGTCCTCTCAACATTTGTATATGAAATGAGTTTGGTTATTTCTGAACTGCTGTTCTGTCATTATTGTAGTAGTTTGTTCCTCATCAGCTGTGACATCGGCCACAGAACATTGAGACTGGAGATAGGGCAGGTCTTCCTCCAAGCTAGGCTAATGGCTAGCCAAGATATTAATATTAAGCTTCAACCAATTTTGGTGGTGGCCTTTGTTTAGTATGTTGCTACTCTCTCAACGTTTGTGTTGCTATGCTAACGCATGTATGTCAAGCATAGACCAGGTTACCGTATTGTTGTAGAGATGCACGATATTATCGGCACAGTATCGGTATCGGTCGATATTAGTGTTAAAGTTCAATATCGGACATCGGCCATTCCATCAAAATAACTCACCGATATAAAATACGCTGTTTTTGTTGGACAACTCAGTGACGAGGACGCCTTCAGCGGCAGCACAATGTAATGCCGTCACGTGTGCCTACCTGATCTCACAGCGGAGAAGAAAAATTCAAAATGTCGGCAGTGTGAAAGTTTTTTTCGTTGGTGAGGATGTCTGATTCCGAAGATTTTTGGACTACACTGAGCCTCGCTACATCGTCCCTAGTCAGAGATAATTTTCCAACGTAGCCTTACCCGAGTTACAAGCCGTCATTTTCGACATCATTGAGAAGCTAACAGCCGATAGCACGTGGGTGAGTTTTACCACAGAACTTTGGACGTCGTGTTAGCCCCGTTAGCATGATTACTCTTACGGCACAATGGATAGACAAAAACTTTGAACTGAAAAAGTCTATCCTTCATTATAATAATTTTAAATTTCCAATATTTATATTTAGGTATCAGGATCGGATCGGAAAAAAAAGTGGATCGGTGCATCCATATTCATCAGTCTTGTGGTCTTTGCTCGGCACACGTTAGCTTGTGTAGTAACACGGACGTTCTGTTGGAAGAAACCAATGTTGATCAACTAAACAAACGATGTCATCCAAAATTTAAGAGAGTAATGTTTGCTAATGTAGCGTTTCTCACATTATGCCTTTAAAGTGTTGTTTTATGAACCTGAAAAATAATAAATGAAAAAAAAAAACATGCCATGATTTGGCTAACCATTAGCCTAGCCTATAGGAAGCCCTTTTCTCAGTATAGCATGCTCCATGACAATTTACAGGAAAGACGTCTTGACATCTTGGACACCTAACAAAAGAAACATCCGACCAGGACTGAGACACTTTCTGCCCCCGCCGTGTAATTTCGAAGTTAACCGAGGTGGCCAGGGGGGTCGAAGCCATCCCACCCCTGGTGCCTCTTTGTTCCTCTGAATGAGATGTATAGATGGATACGCCGACATGAGAAACAGTAAGCCGCGGTGCTGCAGCTCAGTAATGTGATGAACGGATGACAGTAGTGTGCGACCAAAACATGAATTAAAAAGTGACCACACTATTTCTTTATTATTTCTCCACTTTAGCTCATCTACTTTGTAGTTTTTGTTGAAATAAAATGGCACAAATTTAACTTAATTAGTAATGTTTTTACTGTTTTTATTATTATTTTAGTGGCTTTTGTTTTTACCGTAACCATCTCTTTGCAGTGTGTGATTCAGCAACACTAAAATCTGTTATTTTCATTATTTTATTTATTTATTTTCCATTTTACAGAATATGAAAGAGGAGGGAACATTTGACCATTTTCGTCTGTTTAACCAAATCAAGTTATGTTTGGTTGAAGTATTGGTGTAGCTTCCCCCTGAATGACCCCACTCTCGTCTCTGACACACATCCCTTCACCTTCACTGTTTATTCCCTCTTTCTTTCTCTGTTGTCGCTCTTCGCTGCTTGTCCTCCTCTTCACTCTTCGCCTCTACAAAGTGATGGTTCAGCTCCCCTCTCTCAGGCAGCCATCAGCCTCATCTCTCCCACTTACCCTCCTCACCCTCTTCTTTCCAGTTCGGGCTTTTCCATTCATGTTCATCGAAGCGCGGAAGACTTAGAAAAAAGAAAGAACTTCAGATTGTGTGGAAAAAAGAAAAATATATTTTTTATGACCCAAAAAAATAAAAAATGCCAGACATGGTCCGAAGTAGGTGTACGCTCTTTCAGTTTTAAGGGTTTTATGCATCGAGACAAACAAAAAGATCTGGTTTTCATCAGTTTGTAAAACTATTGACCTCAAGCAAACAAAAACATCTTCCACTAGACCTGTCACGATAAACAATAAATCAATTAATCGCATGATTAATGAAAACTAACAACTTCATTATCATTTATCGGCTTTATCGTTTCTTTATGTTTCTCTCTTTCTACTGAAGACACCGGATGATGCTCTTCACTGACCCCTCCCTTTCTCTTTTCTCTTTAAAATACGTTTTAACGATCCAAAATCACGTTTTTGGATCGCTAAAAGCAGCTAAGCTGAGAAGCTAAGCTACAAGCTAAGCTAACTGGCCGACCTTGTTAAAGCTCCAAAATTCACGGTTGAAACCCGTGTCTTTGTGTAAAAAGTTGTTTTTCTCTGCAAAAAGAAGCTAAGAACTTTACTGTTTTTATTAAAAGCTTTGTGTGAAAAATGCTAAAGAGCTCAAACCTCACAGAGTGTCCACCATTTTGAGAACCGAAGAGAGACAGCCCATGTCACGTCAAGGGGCCTCCCTCTCATTTTTCTTAAAGAGACACGCTGCTCACTCTCTCACTATCCATCTTTTGGTTCAAACTGTCTTATACTGCCATCCGGTGGTCAAAATAAGGTACTACACACAAAAAATTAACCAACATTTCTTCTATGGGGCGGCTGTGGCTGAGTGGTTAGAGCAGTCGTCCTCCAATGTAAGAGTTGGAGGTTCAACTCCACCAGCCACCACATGCCGAAGTGTCCCTGGGAAAGACACTGAACCCCTCGTTACCTCTGATGTGTGTCCCATCAGTGTATGAATGTGATAAAGCTCGGATTAGTCTCTTTAGAATATTTGTTCAATTAGTTTTGTAGAGATCTAGTAGAGAGCTGTATGAACGGGTAAATGAGGCACAGATTGTAGTGTAAAGCGTTTTACGTGTCTTGAGAAGATACACTGCCTGGCCAAAAAAAAATTTGCCACCTGGATTTAACTAAGCAAATAGGTACGAGTGAATATTCTTTCCTGTGATCATTTCACATCAAAAATTCTTGAACATTGTTGGTTTTCTGTCTCCATGCAGGAGCTGAAACAAGATATCTCCAGTTTCCGCTACGAGGTGCTGGATCTCCTTGGCAACCGGCGTCCTCCGCGGCGACACTACTCTTCGTCCAGCGAGACTACGAAAGATGACGCCGCCGTGGCGTCAGAGGATGACAGCGAATCGGGAGACGGCAGCGGAGGAGGAGGAGGAGGAGGAGGAGGAGGAGGAGGAGGAGGAGTCCAGAAGTCTAAAAGTGTCACCTTCTCTAACACAGTGGAAGACGACAGAAGGCCCGGCCCGACGCTTGGCGTGTCGGCGCTGGTGCGCTCCATTTCAGGAATGACACGGATAGACAAGGGGCAGGAGGGGCAGGTGGAGGAGGTGATTGGATGGGGGGAAGAGGAGGAGGAAGAGGAGGGGAAACCAAAGAGCAATGGGTTGAAGACGACCGTCATCCCCCCTTCCTCCACTACGATCCTCCCCTCGTCGTCTTCGTCGTTGTCCTCGACGTTCTCCTCGTCGCTCGTTCGCACAAAGAACCGCCTGCAGCGTCTCTCAGCCCCGAGCGCAAAGACAGACTCCTTCAAACGCCTCTCCTACCTGTTCTCGCGCTCCAAACGCAAAGCCCCGCCCATGCCGCTCGCCCTCCAGTCCCCGCCTTCCTTCACCATCTCCGACGGGTTGCTCCGGCCGCTGGGGGGCCACAGTCACTCCGACTTCGGACTCAGCGACGTCACAAGGAGCGACAGCCACCTGAACGAGGTGGGCCGCTCGGTGGACAACCCGTCGTTCTCGCCACGGAGGTCGAACGGACGGGACTCGCTCCTGGCGCTGCCCCTCCCTCCCCCGTGCCCCTGCCAATCCCTGCACTGTGCTTCCAACATGTCCGAGTCCAGCGCGCGCCTCCTGGACTCCAGCGAGGACGTTTTTCAGAGCGACGGCGTGGAAAGGGCGGGCGAGGGCAGCGTGGAGGGGGGAGGGGGGCTGAGGATGATGATGGGCGGGTGGGTGGGACCCTGTGAGGATGTCTTAGGGGACAACTGTGACGTCATAGAGGACTCCGTCACCACGCAGCTATAGAAGAGAGCAAAAACCGCCTTTTGTTTTGTTCTTTTCTGTTGACCGGATGGCGCGATGCAGAGAGAGAGGAGCAAGAATCTGACATTTTTATGGCTTTAACAGGATAAATCTGGGATTTTTCAGGACTACAACAGAGGATGTTAACACCTGGAGGACAGGATTGTGTCGGGATGTGTTTATGGAGACAGTTTGACGCCCACTGTGGACTCTCAGACCACATGAAGCTCATGTTTGCACACTCTTATTGGTTTCAAAACTTCTCAAGGGCTTGTTCAAGTTGGTGTGTGGGACGCCTCGCTGCAGAGCAACGAGTCTTAGCTTCAGCTCAGGATTAACCGGATTATAAAGTGTCCCCAGTGGTCGGTCACACAAATCGATCACATAAGAGTGAGCAAACAAGAAGCAAGTTTCACTCTTGAAGGAAATTCGATAACGTCACTCATTTTACTTTCAAACACAGAAGCAGACAGAATCTACCATTTAAGTCCCGCTTCTGTTTAATTCAGTGTATTTTTTATTTACAATCCACAAATTTAATCTGTACGGCCCCCAATATTCCTAACTGAAAAGAAAACTTCAAGATGATTTTGTGAAAACCTGCTTTTTATAAAACATAACTATTGGATTAAGATGTCTCACTGACACTGATATAAAGTTTGTATTTATACAAACTCAGCTGTAACTATACAAGAACCTTCAATGTACAAAATGATAAATTATCATTATTCACAGAATATTTCTGCACAGAACACCTGATTTTAAAGATGTCACGTTGAAATACAGCTCGCTTTCTATTGTGAACATGTCTTTAAGTTTTAGGCTTAAATGTTTTATATAAAGGATAAGTTTACATTTTTATTTAATTACTCAGCCCCACAGCTCAAACAGGAGGAGACATGATATTAGAATACTTTTATATTTTTTACAAGTCTTAAAAAAAAAAAATCCCAACCAAGAGCTGCGGACGTTAGCATTAGCCTCAATTAGCTCGCTGTGATGGCTGTTTCCATCTGTTCAACTTTACAGTGATTCTGGTAAAAATACTACATTTAACATCTTAATATCCACCTATGGTTTTGTTAAAATGAAAGATTTATTTGTCTGTTCACTAATTTGTCAACATTTCTGTGTCAAAAAATGCACTTATTTTTAGGGAAATGGTAACACTAAGATCAGAAAAATCTGTTTAGGTAGCTCAAATTATTGATGTTTGTGCATCGACGCTTGTGTTAAGGCAAGAACTTCTAAAATGAGCTTCATCAGTTCTTTGTTCCACCGCTGCAGGAAGTTTACAGTTCACAATCAGGTCCAAACAGTCCCAAAAGGTGTTGAAATTCTGAGAAAATTGTGAAAAAATTAAGGTAATATTCAAATAATAGCTCACACTATTTTAAGATTCCTTTCTGAATCATTCAGTGCGATGCCTTTTACAGAAATAGACACATTTTCATATCTTCAGATGTCCACATCTTGGTTTTAACTGTCTCTATAGCTTCTAAAATTAATGGAATAATTCAATAAAAGCATCACATTTGATCTAAGATTGAATTATCTTAATACCACCTGTGTGTGGTGATGATTTTTAAATGATTTTTAAGAATCTTGGGTAACACTTTACTTGAAGGGGTGTTCATAAGACTGACATGACACTGTCATGAACATGATCGGGTTTTTATGAATGTTTGACTGTTATTAAATGTCATAAAGTAAATTATGACACCGTTAATGCAAAGTTGACATCGTTTAAAATGTCTTTGTCATGACAACTTGACTGTACTGTAATGTAACTTTTTAAAGTTTGATAATTAATACTTGTTATAACATTTATGACAGGTTATGATTTCTTGGTTAATGAGAAGTCATGACAAAGACATTTTAAACAATGTCAACTTTGCATTAAATGTGGCATAATTAACCGAATAGCACTTAACAGTCATAAACATTCATAAAGACTCGTTCATGTTCAAAGTGTTATCGAAACTTGAATGAATTTATGCGCTGCGGTTTGACCTCTAACCTTCTGATGAGCTGAAGGTTTGAAAGAGTGAAAGCTTCATCGTCGTGCTCTGCGCCTTGTTTCCTGTTTTTGGTGTATGTACTTTCATTTCAGTCGAGTCAAACTGTCCTCATAAACATTTTCCACGGGAGCTTCAAGGAGGCCAAAGGGCAGCAATTCATCGAAAACTGGAAACGTTTTCTTCTTTTTCTCTGGAATAACCAAACGAACTGGATTTTGATGGAGTTACAAGAGCAGAGGTGGCGTTGTGGAGCAGACGCGTCGTTGCGTTTCTGTTCGGTTTCGACTCCTGATCCTCTCTTTCCAATTAACCGAACATCGAATCTGTGATGGAATAAAAAAAAAATTAAATAAAGACAAAGCTTCCTAAAATCATTTAAATTGGAATGGAACTACCCTTTTACCAAACGGAATATTAAAAAAACAACAACATTGCCATGAATTTTAAAGTGGAATATCCTCTCCTTTACCTCCGGAATAATGGATTTAACTCAGACTGGATTAAATGGGATTATAAAGAAATGGCATAGAACCATTGCTCTGCTGTCGACTGTCTGCACCCTCTCTCTCTCTGCATCGACAAGGGCCAAGGAATTTTATCCTCATACCACTTATACTAGTAATAATAATAATAATAAAGATAATAATAAGAGACTTCTATTAATAACACAGAGGACTATTCTGGTTTCTAAAGACTGTCTTTGCTTCTGTTTGAGTTGCTGGCACTAACCCTGGCTTCTCGCTCGGCTCTTCCTAAACGCGTACACTTTAATCTGGTGGACAGAGTTACAGGGTGGGATTCAGGGTAAAGGCAAAGGAAGAAAAAGGCAACAAAGGAGGAAGAACCTAAAGTTGGGAGGAGACGAAGATCAAGACGAATGCGGAGCAGATGAGCATGAACGGGGACGAGTTTGCCTTTTTAATCTGTCTGGGAAATCAGTTTTTAAAGGGGGAAATTTCACCAGAATTTCATCATGATATATATTTTTTTCTTCTCCTGAAGTCGCTAAAGCAACGACTTCAAAAAGGTTGGCATGAGCTGAGGCTGTTAACTTTAACTCTGGTCATTATACAACTGTCCGCAACGAAGTAGAGAAGTTATGCATGTTAGATTAAAAACCTGTTACCTGCAGTGCATACACAACACAAACACGTTCAGCAGGTGTGATGAGTAGCTCCCGGTCACATGTTTTACCATTTGTCTCATCTCGACACAGACGTCGTCTCCGTTTCTGTTCTTTCATGCTTTCATTTTGTCCGTCTTTGCCCTTGATTTCATTTCATTCCCTCCGACAGATGCTGTGACCTTGCCGCCAGTCTTGGCATCCAAAGGCCTAAACATGTCAATAAATCGTGCTACAGTAAAGATTCGATTATCTGCCCGGCATCCTGTGATGTCACGACACGAAGCGCAGAGATCCTCTGCTAGGTGTTGGACAACGCTGAGCATCCCGTGGGTTCTTGGCAGCAGGATCGTGTTTGCCGCTTTAGTCCCAAACAGCAACAAGCTGTTTGTCATTTTACATCCCACCAACAACAAAGACGAAGGAACAACACATTTAATCTGTTCTATAATCTCAGTTTTTACTTCAACTGAATGACGAGCGATGTTAAAAACGAAAAAATGATCTTCAGTGCAAATTTAGAGTCTAACGATGCGATCCAAAGAAGACCAAAGGCAGAAACTTTGTGGACAAGTGTCTGAGCGGGAGTTTGTACTGAATAATTTACAGATGTAGGGGAGAGTGGGGCGAGATGAGCTGTGGGTTAGAAGATCTACCCCCTGTATCTTTGCAAACATACTTGATGAGGTCATGTGACCCCTGCCTGTAAGTGGAAACCATTATGGCCATCAGACTGTGAAAGGCAGGAGCACGAGACGAGACGTTTATCCACAAAAAAAAAAAAAAAATTTTCCTTGTCCAACTACATTTTATTGCATTTAACATATAATGAATGCTACATCAAGGTAAACTTAATTTAACATAGGGTTGTGCATGATACATGTTGATGCTTTCTCATCCTATAAAATCATTTTGCTAAATAATTAGCTGTACCAGGATGGATGGATGGATGGATGGACGGACGGACGGACGTACATATGGACGTTACGGGTCAAAGAGAGCCAAAGACTGTGGGTTAAACTGAACCACTGAATCAACTTATCTCTGGCAAACACCATTGATATCTTATGTTGGATTATGTGTTTCTGTCGTATTGTAAAATATAAAACAATTGTAATTCCATAAAGAAGTAAAATGGGTGTAACAACAGTTCAGACACCAGAACTGGTAGTGGTGGAAAAATAAGCAAGTGGGGGCAGTCACTTCAGCTGAGGGAGGATTGAACTTGTGACTGTGGTCTATGCAGTCAATGCTACTGGGAATTCAGTGCCTCCCTTGTTTGTCTTGCCACAGTGTAGAAGAACTTTATTTTATAAGTGGAGCTCCACCAGGATCACTTGGTACTGCTACCTGATCTGGCTGGATCAACAAACGCTGCTTTGCCATTGATGTAATGGTAAACGGACTGTACTTATATAGCGCCTTTCTATCTTATTTCAAGATACTCTAAAGCACTTTACACTACAATCTGTGTCCTCATTTACCCATTCATACAGCACTCTACTAGATCTCTACAAAGCTAATTGAACAAATCATTGTAAAGAGATTAATCAGTGGGTCTTGAGTCTGTTCTCATCTTATCGGTTCTTCTCAGGTGTAGGTAAAGTGCCACTGTTGGTTCCCCGCTCTGTGAGCGGGGAGTTTTTCCTTTCCACTGTTGCCACTGTGCTTGCTCAGGATGGGAGACTGCAACGAAGCCAAGATTCAACTGGTCTGCTGGATTCCTTAGATAGAGAACTTTACTAATCGTCTTTTATGTGAATGTTTCTGTAAAGTGCCCTGAGACAACTTTGTTGTGATTTGGCGCTATATAAATAAACTGAATTGAATTGAGCAAGATTGTAACTATAATCTAACCT